TTATGGGAAAGGAACTTACCGCGTGGCCATTGATTTATATAAGTGCAATATTTTCCATTGAAAATGAAATATCTGAGCCATTAAACGAAGCTTAAATTTAAGAGTCAGTCAGTGGCATCTCCGTGACGATGTCATGTAAGAAAAGTAAACTTTAACACATTTGTTTGAAACGTAAAAAGTATGGCGGCCGTCAAATTAAGACACTTTGCGAGCAAATTGTCTTCAACAACATGTATAGCCTTTAACAACATTTATATTTGAGATCTTAAATAAAAATGTTGTCAAAGGCACCGTACTACCTCGGAGAAAGTGAGACTGTCACCATAATGAATAATGATCATAAGATATTATGTGTCTAGCGTACCTTAATTTGTGTTTTTTCGTGTATGTTGTAAATTTGAAGCGACTATAAGGGCAATGAAAAATATTTCCTCATACAGGTTTAATTCTTTGCTTCAATATTGACTGCACCATAATTGATGTGTATTTCAAATCTAATCTAATGTCTAGTTTGTTTTTAACAGAGGTTAGAGATGGGTAGAAATCATGTGCAACAGACATGCCAAGATTCCGGAGTGAGTATAATATGAAAGTGATACAAACTGTCTAATGAAGAAGACGGCCAAATGACGAGCATCTATGCTTAAATTTTCATACATCAACCTTAGAGTCAACAGCTTAGCATCGACGAAAGACAATTGCAACAAGCTTACAAAGTTTAGCAAAATTCTTTGGCCGCATTTAAAATGTGGACCAACAGAATTGGACAAGCGATACTAGTTTATGACAAAGATAAAAAATACACTTTCTGATCAATATTTCTACTTTTAAAACGGCTTAAATGATGACATGCATGAGTCCATTTGCAATTGTAAAGTAAAAATTGAGTCATAAATTTCCTTCAATAGGCCATATAACACAAGCCATATATAAGGTTAAAAATGAAATAACACATATTTTACAAACAGACCCTTTGGGCCAACGAGTGATACTTACTATAACAATCATTTTAACTTCCTTATAAACGAACCACATCAACGTAAACATACCTTGTTTAAGATCGCAATGATTTGTTTTTGGTAAGCAAATTGTTGTTGTTTGGAATTATAACTTTGTTTGACTTTGATTTATCTACAATTATAAGCTTCCATGGGTCACATTTATACGTCGTAATCAAGCATGAAAATTCTTTATCTTTTGTTTTACAAACTTTTCACTGATTAATGTCATGAAGCCTTGAACAGTTGAACTTTTAGATAGATTTAACGTTTAAACAAGTTAAGTGTCATATATTCTTTCTTTGAGTTGATACGTGGAAAATTATTTTTGCCACGGAGTTTAAAACATCTTAAGAATAGATTATGTAAGCAAAGATATGGTTTTATGATTTTTATTGTTTATGCTCGTAAAATTTAATATAATTTGGATCAAATTGATCAATAGAAATGAGAAGTACTAAATTTTACGGTTCTCAAGATAATTGGGAGTAAGTGGTGAAAACTTCAGCTCTATACTCAAAAATTGGTCTTATACAGATAAGGGTGGTATAAAAATTCACAATATCAGATTGATGAACTTTCGCTTGTTTAAGTTGAATAAGAAAAAACATGCGTTTGTTACTCTAATGTTGGGAAAAGTAAATCTCACAGTTGGATAAGGCGACATTTCATCATATTCTGTTAAATCAAATGAAGCGAAGGGAATAGAGAATTCTTGTTGTAGTCTTGTAATAATAATAAAGATTTTTTAGCATCAAAATCAATGTTTGGTTGTATCTTTTAGGTATATTTAACTACAATCTGTTTCTGGTAATCTGAATTGATTCGTAAGGTGGCAAAAGTTAAGTTTATCAAATCACAAGTCAAAACGATTCCACACCCAGAATAATTAGTTTATAACTAGTTAATCGGTCTAATTTTAGCCAGAAGAGCCTCAAAAGTGGCAGAATTATATTAGAATTTCCACTGTACACCACCATGTGGTCCAATAGCTGTTTTACAAATCAGAAATCAAAGATTTTCAGGTCTTTTATTTAATGCTATGAATTTGCATGTATCACCTTAGCGTCAACAGCTCGACGAAAGATAATTGCAACTTTCCAAAACGACTAAATATTTAAAATATTTCATGATGGCATGCATGAGTCAATTTGCAATTTCAAACTAAATTTCCTTCCTAATTCATAAATGTCATTTCATACTATCACAAGTATAATGAAATAAAACATATTTTATAAATATACCGTCCGGACCCAAAGATAAATATAATTACATGCTAGCAAGCAATTTGAATTCCTTAGCAAGCAAGCACATCATGATAAACGCGACTTCCTTTAGATAACAGTGATTTTTTGATAAGTAAATTTTTTGTATTTGTAACTTTGTTTAATTGGTGTACAACTACAGGATCACAAGTTGCCATGGGGATCTATAATGTATATTTTATAGTACTAGGTTGAGACTAATATTTATTAAAATTCTATTAATTATATTTGACGAACAACTTTTATGTAAGATCTCATTTACACATCGTTAACACACACAATAATTCTTTGTCTTTTGTCTTACAAACCTTTTGCTGGTCGACGATTGAGGCTTTGAACATTCGATCTTTCAGATATCTCTACGTTCTGATAAGTTAAGCGTCAAATGGCTTCGTCCGTTGAGTTGATACGTGGCAAATTATTTTGTGCAACTGAATTTAAAACATTAAAAGTTAATTGTTATGTGAAAGCAAAGATACGGTCTTATGATTTTTATTGTTTTTCTTTATAAGTTTGAATTTAATTTGGATCAAATTCATCAATAGAAATGAGAAGTGTAAATTATATTACATTATACCATTTTTGAGATACTTTGGGAGCGATTGGTTAAAAACTACAGCTCGATATGTCAGTTTTTATTTTTATACTAGTGGTCTCTTGCCTGTTGAATAACACAATATCGACGCACAATTATATGTCACGAACGTCTGAATTGTGCTTGTTGAAATCTTTAGTATAAATGGTATATTGATAAGCATTTAAAAAAGCTACATTTCCAAAATAATAACGTTGCTAAAAGGCAAAAACTACTTTTTATAAACATAAATTAAATTACAATTAAACACATCATGATAAACACGTCTTATTTTAGATGAATGGCAGTGATTTTCTTGGTAAGCAGTTAATATGTTTGTATTTGTAACTTGGTTTGATTGGTGTACAACTACAGGATCACAAGTGCTACGAGTATCTATGATGTATATTGTGTAGTACTTGGGTGTGACCAATATTTATTGAAAGTTTATCAATTAAATATAACGAGCAATTTTTATTTAAGATTTCATTTACAGATCGTTAACACACACGATAATTCTTTATGTTTAGTGTTACAAACCTTTTACTGGTTCATGGCTCAAAACTTTGAACATTCGATCTTTCAAATCACTTAACGTTCTGAAAAGATAAGCGTCAAATGGTTGCGTCCTCTGAGTTGATACGTGGCAAATTATTTTGTGCAACTTAATTCAAAACATTAAAAGTTTATTGTTATGTAAAGCCAAGATACGGCCTTATGATTTTTATTGTTATTATTAATATGTTTGAATTTTTTTACCGTTTCCTTTGTACTTTGGGAGTTTGTTAAAAAAACCTTAGTTCCATAATAAGGAGTTGGTCTTATACATGAAAATGCACAATGTTAGATTGCGGAACTTTTTCTTCATTTGCTTGTTTAAGTTCAATAAGGGGGTGTTAACATGAATCCGGAATGACTTTCAATTCCAGTCGAAACGTGATGTCAATCCACGTTTACATGGGAAATCAACACAGGGATTGACATTTCGTAGGAATTATCAATTTTGAAGACAACAAACTTAAACATTATAACAACCCTTTTTTCTTTCGTTTCTGAGTTAATACTTGCATGAAACGTACAGCTTAATACTTGCATGAAACTAATTGTTGCTTTTTCTCTCACTCATTTTAGTCCATTTAGCTTACGAGCTTCAATTTCCCAGTAGACAATACACATGGTGCATGCGTGCTTTGTCATTAATCACAATATCATTCCAGAATGAAACTCAGTACGCGTTTACATGAGATTAAAACTAAATTTTGATCCGGCATGAAACTTCGATCCGGAATGAAAATAGGAATGAGCTCGATCCGGATCGAGTTGTGACTCATTCCGGATTCATGTAAACATGCAGTAGGATTTCTTTTAAAATGGAATGAGTTTATTCCGGATCGAAAATCATTCCGGATTCATGTAAACACCCCCTAAGACAAAATAGGCGTTCGTTGGCTTAAATGTTGGGAAAAGTAAATCTCACGCCTTGATAAGATAACATTACATTGTACTCTGATAAATTGAATGAAGTTAAATGAAGGAAAGCTGATATAGAATTCATATTGTAGAAGCTATATAGATTTGTTAAGATCATGTCCGATGTTTGGTTGTATCATTTAGGTATATTTCAAGCTGTTTCTGGTAGTCAGAATTGATTCGTAAGATAGCAAAAGTTAAGTCTATTAAAAGCACAATTCAAACGACTTCACACCAAGAATATAAAAATGTCCATTGCTGTAATTAAATTAACTAATTAGTTTATAAATAGTTGCTTGGCATAATTTTAACCCAAAAAGCCTCAAACGTGGTCGAACTAAATTAGTCAAGAACTGTAAACTGAATAAATTTGTTTTATCTATAGACATATACATCACCACCATGTGGTCCTAAAGCTTTGTTTTTATAAACAATATTATACTCAGATATCTTAAGATTACAAGTATCATGTAAGCTATGTTTCTGCGATGAACACTACATCGGGTTTCTTGCTTGGCAGCGAAATCGCGAATTATTTTGAGCTTTACTTTTTAAATGTGAAGCTAATTATATATGCAAAATTCACTTCCGGTTAATCACTAGAGATACAAATTACTCTAGAAATGCTTGGCGGATAACGTTTACAAACAAGGATTTTCAAATATAAAAGGCATTTCGCGACGTTTTACTTATCTCAAATATCTTTCTTGGATAAATAAAGTTATTTAAATCAATGTGACATCAAAATTATTTCGATACCTGTAAAATATCGGCGTTCGTGCTCATTTGAAAATCGCTCGTACAAGAATCGAATTTGCCCAATAGTTGTCAAGACAAGATAATTCACAGCTCGCTTTCCAAGTTTAGAGGCAGTTATGATCTAGAATATGTTTCAATACGTAAAAATTGTGGTAAGTACCTTTATTTTATCATTCTTTATAATCTAGAGATTGTCGTATGTTACTTTTGCCGTGACTTTATGAGTCGGGTATATTAGTGTAGGAACAAACAAATTTACTAAGCTTAGTTTATTCTTAGTTTTAATTTCTATTTTTATTTTATAAAAATAATATTATCACTACACTTTGCTACAGCATTTGGATATGGTATTCATCAGTACGTATGGTTGTTATTGTCATAACATGCAGGGGCGGATCTAGGGTGTGTCAAATCAGTCACGCGACTGATGTTTATAGTTCAAAAATTACTTATCAAATTTAATGATTACAATTTTTTGTGATCATTGAATTCCCGATGTATAATCGTATGAATTTCATTGTCAAAATTCTGTTTTATATCTGAAATCTTACGTAAATATCACGTTTTAGCATATCTGGAATTATATTAACTGACTGACTGATAAGCGGTGATGATTAATATTTTTTAACATGGGGTTATGTGATTATGTGATTTACAAAATGTTTTTGATTAAGAATCACGTAGCCTTAAACCTTAAAATAGTTGTACTTTCTATTGCAAATCACAGCAGTTTTTAAACAGTGATTTAAATTTACAAAGAGGTAATTGAATGTTTATTCATAACAATGCATGGTTGCTTTATGATACTAGTAAGTATCGTTTGTCCAATTATTGCATTCAAGACAATATGTAGTTTACAACCCAATTTTTTATCTCTTAGATTGGTTTATTAACTTCGCCTATTTCTTTAGTAAGCTTGCAATGTCAATTAAATTATTTTTATTTAGTTGCTTAGAACATTTTCCATTTGCTGTTGTTAGCAAGTAAACTATAATGTTATACTTAAAATTTTAGCGTTATGTTTAAATTAGGTATGATACATGCATGTAAAGGAGAGAATAAGTTACAAATGGTTGAGGAGACATATAAGTTACCATAACTTGTGAATGAGACTCATCATTTTTTATATTAAAACATTTTGCTAAATGTTGTGATCACCAGCACTTAGGGAGAATGGGTTATAACATTAGGATATGTTTAAATTAATCAAAAATAAATAGAGTGACAGTTGCATTGTATTATTTATTTTAGTTCCTATCATAATAAAACATGACCAGGTGCAATACAGAAAAAACCAGGGAAGTGGCTTGGTCAAGTGACTTACTCTCAAAATACTAATATAGAATTACGCACTAATATTTCCTTTAGGAAGCAGATACAAGAAGAACATCATCGCTTTGTTAGCCCTTTCTGTCACTTGCCTGTTGATATGGTAAAACAATTTCCATTTGACTACATGCATCAACTGTGTCTGGGTGTTATCAGTAAAGTTGATTATGGTTTGGATGATGATAAATCGCGCTGCTAAAATGTCTGTTGCCCATGTAGATGCTGTTAGTATAAATTGGTGGAGCTTAAACCATTTATCCCCTCTACATTTGTGCAAGAACCTAAGAGTTTAATGGAGGTTGACAGATGGAAAGCTACAGAATTCAGACAGTCTCTTTTGTTTACAGGCAAAATTTCTTTAAGCCGTCAATGAAATCTAATCAACAAATTCTAGAAGTAAGTACTGTAGCTGCAATGCAATAGGCCATTGCTTTATTCAAAGGAGTGCAGTTTTTCACATATTGCTACCTTGCATTTAAATCTAATGAGTGATTTTTCTTTTTAGATTTGCCGGTGTACAGCGAGCTGATCTCCCTTGCAGAAAAAGGTATAAGCGCTATTATAATCCTTGTACAAGTAAACAATTTTTTGACAGGAACATGCATGTATAAAATTTATTATTTCATACTAATATAATGTTGATCTAGATTTATATGACGGTGAACTAGCACCAGAAATCCTAAACACAAAGGATCATGCAATAACTTCCCCATCTACTAGTAGGACACCATCTCAGCGTAGTGGTAAGTTTTCTGTCATCAGAACTGACTAATCAGCAACTTTCATATATTATGTCGACTAAAAGGTTGAAATAATTTTGATTGATTCTTTTTAAATAACTTTAACATTTGTATTGTACATTTACTGTTTTTCTACGTCCATCGTTGCATTATAGGGCTTATGTATGTTCTACAGGTGCTGTATGCGTTGGTCCTTTAAAATGTTGTTGTAATTAGTTGAAAAAATGTTAGTTATAGTTAAAATTGCAGTTGTGTTTTCCACGATTTAATCAAAATACATTCGTTCAAATCTAATTCTCAGCGTTTGCTATCAAACTACCAAATGAAACTTTCTCGAGGTTTTTATTTTAGTCACCTTTCTGTTTCTGACTTTTGAAACTTGTAGTGCCTTAATTTAAATGACGTACGTGCGTGCAATAAAGATATATGTTAAACCCAGTACGTGTCTTCTCTGTAGATACAAGCAACGTCTCTTCACAAGGAATTCTTACAACTAACACAACAGGAGAAAGACATTCTCAACGAAACAGTGGTGTCTTAGGCAAGCTTTTCTTACAATTCATTATTGCTTGTCTTGTTGTTACGTTTTCATTTACGTTTATTTCGTGTAGTTTGAAATGTTTTTTTTTCTTCACAACTAATTGCAACACGTGATTGCTTTGCAGATGCGCATGACCTTTCATCGCACGAAACGCCTTCGACAAGTTTTATGAACATAACACCTGCAGGAAGACGTTCTCAACCAAACATTAATGGTACCTTTTCTACAGTATATAGTTTTTGAATAGCGTTGTTATTTTGTGTGTGTAATCAATTAGCAATTTGATGCGAGTTTTATTTGAATTTTCCTGTTAGCATGTTGTAAGGTTATATATTTTTAAGATATTACGTAGGTTATGCATAAGTTATTCTATTATTTTCCTATCTATCATGTAGGCTTTCAAAGATCAGTTCTCACCAAACTGGAAACATTAATTGATAAGCAAGAAGAAGCGTCGTCAATATCACGTGCTCTGTTAAGCGTTACGAAAGGTGTAGACGAGCACAAAATTTTGGAAGATGTTGTACCTAAGCCCTTAGATTCGGTTTAAGAACTTGAGGACCTATTCTCCAGTCTTGATGAAGAAAAGTCCAGAAGAAAGTTTGTAAGTTTTAGAAAGTTAACCACCAAAACGTATTTAGTAACATTTATTATCACTGCTTATTTTTATGCATGACTCTTTCAAGTGTTACGTAAAAAAAAATGTGACAAAGGAAGGCATAGCTCTTCCCCTTTATCGGTTTGAAAACGTGAAAATTATCGTTTCATTTGCAATTACGTAACATAATATTGACTTTTTTTCTACCATTTGTGTTTGAAGCTTGAAAACATGCACGTTTGTCAAAGTCTGAAACGTAATTTTAATGACGATTTTCGTGACGTTAGGGGGTCAGATTATCTGATTAAACTATATGAATCTAGCATCGTGTTTTTCGTGAGAGCATTGTCGTGTTCTGATTGATGTAAATACGTTACGATACTTCAAACGGCTCTTAGGAGTGTGTCGTCTTATTTGTGCTGAAAAATTTTAACGAAGAAACTTGTCTTTCTAAAAGCTCTCACCATTCACTTTGGATTGTTTTATTTTGCAATTCGAGATCAAAATGGTTATATAGATACATATATAAAAGATAAAACGTTTCTCCGGATTTTTTTTTTTAAACGTTTTATCTTTTATATATTCAATGCCTGGATTACAAATTTTCAAACTTATAGATACATATATATATGTCTAAATTGAACTTATCCATATAATTTATCTTTTACTCTCTTTACTAGCTGCAGTTTTTGGTAGCACTGTGCGCAAACACCTGTGCAAGCAGTGTTAGAAGAATTATGACAAAGCTGGGAACAAATAATCTATGGTCCTAATATGATTTAAAAGGCAGAAAGTCAAAGCGACCATTTCAACACCTTTGTCGTCTGCAAAGTTACCACAAGTAAGCACAATTAGACGATAATGATTGCGACAGCAGTACCATGTTTTGTCTCTTTTTTCTTGTTCATGAATTGGAAAAACAGCCATTTATGTTGCTCCTCGTTATAAGGAATATTGTTGCAAGTTTTAAAAGCTAAAACATTAAACTGTTTTGAATATGTCACTATAATGAATTGTTGTTTATCATTCAGCTTACGAAAATGATTTAGTGTTATATCCATGCAATTTATGTAAAGTATGTCTTTTCTGTTTCGTTTCACTTGTTAGAAGCCTGCCTCAGAGCTCGTAAAGGATGCAGCGAGGCCAACGTTGGAGAGCAATTTGCCGAATTTTCGAAATATGCTCCAGGCAAGTAAGGTGGTTCCAGATTTAAGGTAACATGTCATTATCATCATAGATTGCTGGGTAAAGTATATAGATGCCATTTTTTCTTTGTTTGATTTTCTCAACTTAGACAGGGAGAACTCGACTTATTTTACTCCGTAATGTCATAGTTAACATATTTGTATTTTCTTGTCTGTGTAAGTTGAGAAAAATACACAATAACAATATTGGCATGTGCACTTAAAGAAAGTGAGCATGTGTCTTTCATTGTCCTTCAATTATAAGTAAAGCAAAATGGAATGGACACATATAAATAATGCGTACCTTTAAAAACGTTCATTTTAGTGCAGGTATTAGATTTGTGCAAGTTTTAAATTTTGTTAACTCAAACTGCATGATTAGATTTATAATATACAATTTGCTTAGCGTGATATTAAACAATTATTGAATAAAATAGTATATGAATTAAGACTTATGAAGGCCAAGGTTTGTTCAATCTACCAACGCTGAGGCAGATAGAACACATTGATGCCTTGATAATTCTTTATATTACGTGAAAACCCAATTCAATAATTGTTTTATTATTTATATAAAAAAGACAGTGTTGTTTAAATGTGAAAAATGTGCCGTAGCGATTAAAATTTTCTTCTCTTGTTTTGTTTCTCGTGCGTATGAGATGACGTTGTAGCGCGAGATAAGTTCTTATATCCGACGTACGTACGTAGTGGCATTCATATAAGTGGATTTATTTGATTGCTTTTAAGTGAATAAAACTAAAAAATACTTTGATTCATATGTTTATATAAATTAAATTACGAAAATATACATACAGCAGACGATTCAGTTTTTCATTTAAATGGCATCTTTTACAGACAAATATGTCAATGTTGTTGTAGGTGGTAAGACATATAAAAATGATATATAGACTACCATTTTCTAATAATCATATATGTTATTTTCTTGCAGGTCCGAAAAGGCAATTTATTGGAATCGGCTTAATTAGCATTTTTGTAAATATGTATATTAAAACACGCACAGCAAAATCGATGAATTAAAAGTTGATTATATGGAAATTAAACTTTAGTTCGTATCATTGGAAAGGCTGTTTTATGATTTCACAAATAATGCATCATTAATTGTATGTTAAATGAACGTCGGATAGACGTCAGATAAACGTTGTATGAACGTCTGATATATGTTGTATGAACGTCGGATAAACGTTGTATGAGCGTTGTACAAACGTCGGGTTTAGGTTGAAAATACGTTACATCCCAACGTTCTTCCTAACGTCGCCACCACGTTCCTACGAGTTTACAAAATCATGTTGTCTCAACGTTGGTCCTCGACGTTGAGTGAACGTTCGACGAACGTTGGTAAAACGTTGAGACAACGTGATTATGCTAGCTGGGTAAGCACTTCAGGAAAATTTTTTTGTTTATGGAAGTTGGAGGTACGTACGTCAACGCCATATTTCCGAGGGTCTCCATTTCAGTACTTTTTCGTAGGCCATGTTGATCGTTATGGTGATTTTACTCAAAAACAGTTGAAATTGCTTAATTCATTTAAATGAAGTGCATAAATAGAAACTCTTGTACCGGTTAGCAATTTACTTATTGTATATCATCAGATTTTCTACTCTTCATACTCAATTCATAACTATATCTGATGTGACTACAAATCTTACATAATTATACTTAATTATACCTATGTATAATATGGCTGTATTCAGAAATTAACTTTTAACTAACTCGTATATTTACAATACGCGAAAGTGAGGCAAATGTATAGGTTTGTCAGCACCTTCGCTATCAAGGAATGATGGAAATTTTCAAATGAGTAAAATAGAAGAGTTGCTGTACACAAATAATACAAAGCATTTGTGGATATGCACACGAAAGTTCTCTAGAATGGAAAAGCAAGGATGTCCCAACACTAAAAACATGGCGTGCTTACATAGGTGCGTATAAAGTATAGCAGCTCAAAAAATTGGAAAACGTATGCAACAGTTGTTAGCAAAAAATTCCAAAATTTTTGACCTGCACGTGACCTGATACCTGCCTACATGGGATTTTTCCTTTGAAATAGGTAAGCAAAGTACGTGTACATGTTTCATGTCAGCCTGTCAAAGGTTTTGGATTGTGTAACAATTTAGTTTCTTTCAATAACATTTCATACTTCCCTGTTGATTATCAGCCGATCGCAACTAATACAAGGTAACTCTTACAAGAAAAAGTCTTTGAAAGAACACATTTCATATTTTTGAAAACAAGCGAAATACTGCATACAAACTACGTATTGGTTAACACATTCGAGCGACACGATAACATTGAAGAAAGCGAAGATGTGCAAGTCACATCAAGGAATTTGAATGTGGCAACCACCCTTGGTAGGATGAGTGAAGCAACAACCACAATGAATAAATCACTCAGCTTATTGCAGGAAACATCAGTATCCTCTACAGTAGAATCTACTCGTAAGAGGAAAGCAAGTGCTTTAGTCAGGGCATGACGCAGTTTGCGAAGAACTTTCGACCAAGCGCAATTCTGAAGCAGAACAACTAGCAGTGGACCCGCTGCGGAAAGAGATACTGCAAACACTTGACGAAACTGAGAAGACTTCACCAATCGTCAACAGGAAGCTGGCCTCAATTATCCACCGGCTGAACAAGCTGAGCTACGAACAATTGAAGGAAGAATATTTTAGTCCTTAGAGAACTGCGATTGTCTTATTGTACCTAAGATAAGCCCCGAAATTTGGGAGAAATTAGACCACCCAGCTAGAGGGCGAGATTTACAATTGAGTGCCATTCAATCAACCATGACAAATATAGCAACACAAACCCCCAATAAACTGTTGGTTGCTTGCAATAACAGCATGCAGCGAACTGAATATTGATGATCTTGTTCGTAAGAACGCTATTACCATGGCAATCCTGGGACATGTAAGTTTTGAATTGTCTAAACGACGATATGACGCTATACGTCCCAATCTCCATCCAGAATTTAGTACTTTATGCGCATCGCATGTTCCCATTACGAAATACTTGTTTGGAGATGAATTGCAAACCCAAGTTGATCACATTCGCACAAGCAACAAAATTAACAACGCGAAGACAAGTTTTTAATTCCAATACCACTTGGCAGCAACATTCAAAACAAGAGAAACGACAATGGCGCCATTTTCCATCTCGTCATCAGGGCAACACCCTCTATCGGTCGAAGTGGAACCAATTCAGAAAGAAACGATCGGACACAATGAATGATCGCAAGTAAAAAACAAATTTTTAAGAAATTTTGAGATTTTATAGAGAAACCAGTATTCTTCTTTTGTACCCACGCTAAAAAGCGTATCTAAATAAAAGCTTTGAGAACTATCAGGCTGTCAGCATATCAAATTTAAGAACATGGGAAACACTCAATTCTGAGAACAAAATCTTAAAGACAGTTGGAGAAAAAAATTGAATTTGACACTATTCCTATTCAATGAGTTTTATCCAAAAAATACAACTTTTGGTTTCCGATTCAAATCAGTCCTTATGCGAATATCTGTGACTACAGAACGAGCTGAGAAGATAAAACGCATTTTTAATGAGCTTCTACAAGCGTCTCACACAAAAATAAGGGATGTTATACGGGTTTTGGGCACTCTACCTTTGAGTCTCCCGGGCGTAATGTACGATCAGTTGCATTATTGCTGGCTGGAATTAGATAAAATTGATGCCCTTAAGTTAAACCACGGTAAATTTAACGGGATAATGAGCCCACCTTCAGAGGCCATACATGATTTAAGATGGTGACAGTCATTATTACGCACTACTCACTGGCACTTTATATCCACAATGAGCCTAGCATTTGCGTAACAACAGATGCCTCGTTGAAAAGGGGGTGCTACTCCATAAATGGTTTATGTGCTTGAGGTAACTGGATGCCCTTGGAGGCTTCCAGCCGTTTGAATTATTTGAAAATTCTTGAGGTATTGTTTGCCCTTGAGTCATTTTCTTTAGAACTAAAAGGTCGTCATGTTAAACTAATAATTGATGATACTACCGTTGTAGCTTGCATTTACCAATAGTGCACATGCCACTCAAGATCTGTTCACAAGTCGACATGCAAAGTCCAGCCATGCTGCACTTCGTATGATATTTGGTTGACAGCAACGCACATTCCAGGATTACAAATTGTCACTGCGGATCGAGAATCTCGAATATCATGCAGAGAAACAAAATGGCAGTTGAACAATGATTTGTTTCCGTCAAGGTTGAATAATCAAGTGAAACCCTATGTTTTATACCAACATGACCCGTATGCTATAGCTGTCAACGCCTTTACGATATCGTGAGCCAATTATACATTTTATGGGTTCCCGCCTTTTAGCATAATTTCGCACGTGTGACAAATAATAGTACAAGAGAAAAGCACAGGACTAGTCTTAGTCCCTAATTAGCCAACACAAACTTGGGGGGCCGCTTTAATGCAGATGCTAATAGCACATCCAGTTGTTTTACCTCGAGGAAGAACGACATCCCCAGTCAATACAAAACTAGAGTTACTACTTTGCCATTTATCGGGAAACTGCTCTCTGATGAAGGCATTTCACTAGAGGGCTTCTCAAATCATCCAGAAGGCCTTGCGGACCGGTACCAAGAACATTATTCTACATACCTTAACCGTAGGTGACAATATTGCAGTGCAAACAATATCGATCCTGTCGCGTCCTCTGTAGAAGAAGGCATTAATTTTCTTACAAAATTTTACCAGGAAGGTTTATCCTACAGCGATAATAATACTGCAAGGAGCGCCTTGTGTACAATCCTAATGCTACCAAGTGGCATCTTGTTTGGTACACATCCACTCGTTGCCAGGTTTGTGAAAGGGGTATTTGATGCAAGACCAGCTCTTTCTAGATATTGCCACGGTCTGGGATGTTTTAGTGGTATTCAACATCTTCGAAAACTCTACCCTCCAAAAGATGTCAATTTGAAATTCTCAACACAAATCCAAAAAAGTAATGCTCTTAGCTTTATTATATGTATATAGTAATTCCAGCTAAAACTGTGGGCTTTTATATCGAATACAGACTTTAATAAAATCGTTTTATTAAAGTCTGTAAATACATCCTTTTTTTGCATGAGGAGGTATCACATGATCATCTTCAACTTTAGTCTATAAAAAATATTGGTTCCAATCAATATCAGTATCCTATGAACTTTTCCCTTTAACTCTAATGCAGCAACTTATCTGTGTCAAAAGCTCTTTTATTTTTAAACGTAAAAAATGTTTTACAGAGTTTAGCAAATCACTATGAAAGTATATTTCTAATTCTTAATTTTCTAATCAAGTTTTATGCCAAGTAACTAGTTAAGAGGTTTTTTCTCGGCATTAAGGATTGGAAGGATTTCTTTAAGGAGTCCACACTGTTCTAGTTTTTCTACTTCCCTTCCAATCACAGGACTCTCACACTGCGATTAGCTAGTTCAGCGTACTTATGGGTCAGATTTATAATTTCTTTTTTATTTACTTAATTGTACTTACAGAACATAGAAACGGTAGGTCTTTACAGACTCTTTATTTATGTATGGAGTTTTCAGATAAAACTTACAGTAGTATAAATTACAAATAAATGGACATCATTTTATGATCTTGCTATATCAAAGCTGCATGTTAAATTACATTTACAATACAATATAGCATAATATCAACACAATTGTATTATTAATTTACAAGAATATTCTATCATCGTTGATGGACGATACAATAAAAAAATACAATGAACATTCTTCAAAATTACTAAAGTACAAAACTGAATAGAATAAAAATCATTTACAGGAGTGAAAAATAATAATAAATTAACAAGTAATTACGAAAATAGCAATAATTGCTTTGCATGATTTCATCAAAGTTCGCGCGCCTCATTTTGTGCTCCCATAGCCAGGTTTTGCACACGTAATTCGTCTACCTCGTCCAAACGCTCGCTAGTCCATTGTATAGTAGATGTATTAGCTCTCACTTCACGCTCTAAAATTTCCACTTTTTCAAAGAGATTGACACAAAAAGCAGGGACTTGGTCAGCCATGCCTTGAATTCGCGCAAATGATTCGTCAATGTGGTCGAAACGCTCGTAAAACTGTACTATAATGAATGAATTATCTCTTGCTTGTCGCTCGAGGGCCGCAATCCTTTCACGCATCGAGGAACCATCTACAGACAATTGAGTCTTATTATTATTGCTCCCATAACGACTTTCTAGACTCTCAATTCTCCTTTCTAAGCCTGTAAGTTTTCCAACTAACATGAAAAATTTGTCTGAAAGATTCGCACGAACAGCAATGATTCGGTCGCCCAGGTTTTGAATAGCAGTGGTAAACTCTGGACGCGGTACATAGTTACTTAACTGTGTAACAAATGCCATAACATATCGTAACAAGGCGCTCACGTGATCAATTAGATTGTCATTCATATGTTGACGGATCTCCTTTCGTTTTAAAGGCTGTGAAAAAAAGAAAAAGATAATGGCAAAGCATTATTTTCCACAAATTAGCGTTATTTGCAACTATTTTCGGTTATTTTAATGTAAATATGATGAAGAACAAATTTTGTTCCCTCTAAGCACTGAAATCATCAAATTAATAAGAATGCACAAACATGCCCCGTTTTCAAACAAAGAACCTATACAAATCAACTTTCTGACAGGTCAAAGTTGTTTGAGAACATTACAAACTAATTATTTACACATTGCATAATTTTGATAACAAATAAATCAGTTCTGCAGCTGCTTATAACTGGACGTTACCATAATTTCATTTCTATACTTAAAATATTGGTATCGGTGGTGCTTATCTTTGTTTTGAAGTTCTAAATTTTGGCAATAGTCATAACAAAATAACAAATTTCAAACGCGTGCTCTGATTGGTCGATGCCTTTATGGAAATTTGTCAAGTGTTTGAATGACCTGGTGAACAGTGGCGTAGCCAGGAAAAATATTAACTCCCGCCTACCCGTGTCGCGCCGAATTTGAAAATTTTGAAATCCATAGCCTTGGAAACAACATTTCGTGCGATTTGCTGGGCGAAATATTTGTTGTACAATACGTTATAAAAACCCGTTTTTATTAGCTGCATTCTTAATGTGGCAATTGTCAAAACTGTAACTAGTTAAGAAGGTACTAAAGGTGGCTCAGTGAAAAGTTACGCAGGAGACAATTTCCCCTAAAACATAATGAGTCAAACTCATCACTGCCTCTGAATAAACAGAAGAAATTTGGATTAGTACAAAAAATAAGATAGTAAACGACACTTCCTAAAATGCATATGGAGAGATTGTTGTTAGCATTCCACTTCTTAGTTTACACTTGTTTAAATTGAGGCAGGTAGACAGGGATGGCAGTAATGCTTAATGTTCTCAATGAAGTACCGTGCATTATAAGAACATCATTTATAAAGAAAAGCCAGCCTCCTGAGTTTCTCTACAAATTTTTCAACCAACTCATTATGCAACACCTCTGATTCCTCTTTTTGAGCTTGCATTGAATAAACGTTATTTCGTTGCTAACATGAAATTATTAAGTAGTCCAAACATTCTTACTTTGTCATAGCTGCATCCAATGGCTTGAAATTCACATTTTGTCGGCACTTCATCACAAGTCGTCTTTTCATGGTGTTCAGTATCTTTCTTCGGTATTATTTGATTGCAATATTTACAAATCACGGGATAATTTCCACATACATTTTCTTTGTGATCCTACATGTTAAAATGAAATACAAAGCAACGACAATTTAATGGATGAAGTTTGGTCTCGTTTCTAAAAAGGCGGTCAAAAGAAGTTGATTGTAATAGCTAAGCAATAACAAAGACAATAAAAAGATATTTATTACGACACAAAATACTTATCTCAACTTGCTGTGTTCCTGTGATTCATGCACGCACCTTAAGTGAAGCATACGGGACATCTTTACCACAATATTCACATTTTACATTTCGATATACACATTCATTCTTCAAATGTTCACCAAGAAGAGAGCGAGGTAGCTGAATGTTACACTGTTTATGTATACAGCTAATGAGCGCATGCTCACAAACATGAGAATGACCCTGAGAAAAAAAAACTTTATAAGTGAAAATGCCACACTTTTTTGATAAATTTCTCTGCCCAACTCATCTCCAATTCTTCGTGTGTACCAAACCATTTACCTTCTTCAGATGGACAGTGTAATTGAATCCTTTTTAACTCACGCTTCGTGAAAGCATCCGGAAAAACCTAGATGGATCCATGGAAATTGATCTTTTATGAAACAAGATTAAATGTAGAAAATAATAGAGTCACTTCACTCAAATGCAAGTTTACACTAGACGTTAAATGAAACAGTAACGTAAATTTCTTACAAGAACTGTTGGCAAACGTTTTTGAAGTAATATTCACCGACGCACTAACGCTAAGTGCAAAGGCTCTTAACATGTAGACTCAACAACGAGCTCAACATGTTCAACACCATGTTTAGGAGAGTTAAGTAGTAGCTATTAAGCGGGGTTGAGCGTTGTTGAGTGAAGTTTAAACTTGCTCAAAATTTCCACTCAACATCACTCAACATTTGCTTTGTTCCATGGTCACCAAACCGCACCTCAACTTTGTTTATAGTGCAATGAAACTTCTGGTTTTTAAAACAGCACACTCAACATGTTGAGCGAAAGCATGCACACTACCTGTGCAGCTTATATTGTTGTTATTTACCAGGTCACTGAACCGTTTATGTACCTGTATATACGCTGTTGCTAGGCATGGTGGAGTATTTTATCTCATGATCCTACGCGATATCATTTGAAGACTCAACATGTTGAGAGCGTTTGCACACATCGTTTAGCATCACTCATCAAACAAAAAACAATGTTTAGCGCATGTTGAGTCAACGTATTGAGAACGTTTGCACGTAGCTTTGATAACCCAAGTTGCAAAAGGATTTTCTATGTCACAAGACACGACAATATACGTAAATCGATGTATTATTTTTTAGAACTCAAAGAGTAATTATATAATGCTTATAGTCGTGCTATGCTAAGCTCAACATGCTGTATATGGAAAAATTATGTACTCATTATGTCTAATGATCGATGTAAAATATTTTCATCTATATTTTCCTTGGTCAAATTTTCTTTATGTTCAGGACATTTTGGAACAGGATTTCTACAGATTAAAAAAAGCAAAAACTACTAACAAGAATGATTAATTTCGAAGAGTGGATGGCGTAGCCAGTTCGACAGTTAAATAGGGGGGGGGGGGTCAATATTTCTACATGCATGTTCTGATAAATTACGTTCCTAGGAAAGCAGTTGTTATATGGACTATGATGACTCCCTAGTCTCCTACGCAACAGTTTTTAACCGAAGTCGTATCAAGAGATCTAATAAACCCTCTACCAGCTAGGCACCGACTTAATTGAACAAGATGATACGCAGGAATACTTTGGGATATGTGATACGATATTGGGATGTATAATCAGGGCGTCTATTGAAAGAGCATGTATGACAACTACTATAACTTTTTATAGATGATTTGTTACATAAAAAATGACGTTACCCAAGAATAATATCCATACAAGATTGACAAAACAAATGTCCACACATGGTCTGCATTGGATTGATGAGAAAGTGTTGACAGTAAGTAGAAATATACTTCGCGGGGATTTTTTCTCGATCTTCATCACGGATCTTGATTCCAGGGATCGTCAACAAAGTCAAAATCTGTTTTCAAAGAAAAAAAAAGTTTAAAACACGTAACTAGCATACCGAAAAATAATCACAAACACCACGTTTCTTTAAATACCGAAGAAAAGGGAAAACCACCTGCAGTTTATTGAAAAATAAGAAAGACGTTTGGGCAAATGCACCTTACGTGATCAGGATTTTGAAATATGTTTAGATGTCTTGATTTTTTTTGCTTTTTCCTTTATTTTCTACTTTCTTAAAGCTGTTGTACCAACAATAAGAGCTTTTACTGTCACAGTCAATGACAGCGGAAGACGTTTTGTATAGAGCGGTGTAGCAAATAACAAGAAACGTCGTAGCAGGCGCTTGGCATTCAGACTATTAAGCAAAGTTTCAGCTTCATTAGGTCAGTCTGTATGAGAGAGACAGACAGTATGAGAGGCCATTTATATGTCAATTGTTTTCCATTATCGAACAGGAACTTATTTCAGAAAAAAAACATTGAAAAGCTCTTTGTAACAATGAATAATTGAATAATGGGAGGGGGGTCTTGGCACCTCCATCTTAATCATTTTGGAGGCTGCAACCTCCATAGCCACCCATCCCCTACCTTTGGTCACAGTTTAAATGGAAAGTCATGGTTTGTTTGATTGTTGGTTGACTGGTTAATACTGACTATCTTCTGCTATAGTTACATTCAATTATCTCAATTTAACTTTGAGTGACTTTTATGTTAACACCATACATGATTCATTGACACTCAGCAAAGAAAATTGCCCTTGACAAATGCAAATCACAAAAATCACTAGAAATGACCTGTATGTAAATATTCTGTGGCATTAATGTCCATTTTAAGGATGAACACACGAAACAAATAAATTATGTAATGGTTTTCACCATGATGCCTGTAAATACATGGCATTCAAACATCATTAACTTTAAAGCAAGAAGCTAAAAGTGCAGGTGTTTTTTCCTATAATGGATGGACACACACATTTCAAATGAACATGTTCTCTGTACAGACACCCTGATACCATGGTCATGAATAAAATTTTGTTGCTCACAAATTTAGCCAATGCCAGCATATATTACGTATTTAGACTTACGTATGATAGTGGTATGGTACCCAATCATGCATTCAATTTTTTACAATCTGGATGATGTTTTCTCCATTCTATTGGAAGATTAACTTGACTTAACAGTATGCATAGAATAGAAAAGGTAACTTACCCACTTGAGTCCTGGCCCTGTATCTTACAAGTTTAGTGATTGAGTTAGAACACAGAAGGAACCAATCTTTCTTTGCACCTTAAAAAAATACACATAATGTGAAATGTAAAACTGGGGATAAATTTAGTGCATTCGCTTCAAGACAGGGATGGATCAAGAATGATTTTAAGGGGGGACATGAGGTGCTTTGGTTTGGATTAGAGGTTTTCGGATGTCATTGTGTCATGATGGGCTTTTATGTTAAATTCTGTTACTTATAGCATAGAAAGCCTAGTGGAAAATATTTTTGAAGTGTGCTCCACAGAACACAAATCATAATTGCTTTTTTCTCAATTCCTTTGTATATTAATACTTTACAGGAAAATTCGTACAACTAGTAGCCAACGCAAGGAAGAGTGAGAAATTTTGAATTTCAAAGCCTTGGGAATGCCATTTTCGGCATTTTAGAGCAATACAAAATGCTTTATGTGGACATTGTTTTTTCCAAAAAAAAAAACTGTAAAGTGAACAATACTTGAATGTTTTGCCAAATGTTAAGGCTCATTAGCATGCTTAGGAGCATAAAATTTACTTTACAACAATGCTATTTCAAAACAGAGATAGTCTTTAAAAATTTCTACCAAATTGTCAGGCATAGACCCCCCTAGTAACAACCATTCACACCTCTACGTAATGATTTAAGTTAGAAGTGAGGTACTACAAGGGTCAGTCCATGAATGTAAAAAAGCTCAGACTTCAAACCATGCAAGTTTATTGAACCCTTAACCCATTTCCACTTACAGTGGCAGAAAATTCATCTTTTGAGAAAAAATTCAAAATTTTTTTCTGCCAAAGATTAAACAATAAGTATCAGAGAGGAAATTTTGCAATTAAGGACAGCTTAATGCCATTAAAGTTTATGAAGCCTTTCAGTAGACTATTATCTTCTGTAAGTCCATGCAAGTTGTGCTATATAGCAATTACCAGTAGCATTGTACTTGCTAAAAAAACCATAATGTAACCAGCATGTCTTTAATCATGTAATTACATGAATGTTAAAATTGGTTCATGTGTCAAGCTTACTGGCTATGATAAATATCTTTTCATAGAATCAAAACTAGTTAAAATGTAAATCTAAAATAATTTAGTTTAAAAATTATAATGATCATCAGAAAAATTACCTGGTGATCATGCAAAATACTTGGCTGTTTTGCCAAATTTCAAGGCTTATCTGCATACCTAGGAACACATCTTTACTTTATAGAAAATGTTTTTCATACATCAATAGCCCTTAGGAATTTATGGCAAGCAATCTAATATGAGCCGTAGATCAACACACCTTGACATCTCTACATGAGGTGTTCAGTTAGAAAAGGGGACAATATGTGACATGGGACAACATTTCATGTATGTGAAATAGCTCAGGTTTAATACTATCCCAGTCAAATTGTCAAAATAAAAAGCTTCATGGATCAGAAAGAGTCATAATCACAAGTTATAGTAAACAGCTTCTCATGTAATCAATATTAGTTTTCTCAAATCTTAAACAATATGTAGTATAACTGTCCAATGATTGAATGATCAATAATCATAAACTGAAAAGCCCAAAACATTTGTTTATAATAAGGTATATAATAACATGGCGCCTTATGGCTACAGATTTTTTCCATTGAAATACTTGGCCATATAACGGCCAAGATTCCCCAAGCACTAAAGAAATCATAGCTAAAAGTCCTTCGGCAACAACAATTTTAGAAGCATCAATCTGCTTACCGTACGCCATATTGACATAAATCGCATCACACACTCGCATAAATTGACTTTGATATTTTAAATTCATGCATACACTTCGGTTGTCCTTTACTTACGATTTTGGATGTAAATTTCTGCTGAGAAATCTCTAACAAAATGATGGCTTGCTTTTGAACATCAATGACTGAAATGTCTCTCGCGTCTTTGCCCGAACATTTACAATTCTACTACGTCATCAGCTATTGTCGTGTCAGAGTTGTACGAGAGAGAGAGCATACGCATGCGCAAGTTAGCCAGTTGTGTACGTCTTGTCGCAAGCGAAGCTACGGAAAATTTAGGAAGGATATTTATTCATTATAATCCTTCCCATCCATAATACAATTTCTCACAGGATCTTCTAAAAAGGATACAATCGCTAATTACAGATAAGTTAATCGTTTTCCTAACGTTATTGTTCATAACTTGTGTTCCATTTATATAGAAACAATTAAAGTATGTCATCCGAATCATTAACCGATGACGAGCACGCCGTGTCTGAATTTTATGAAATCAGCGCGCCGCAACGGCCTGATAGTGCTCCCATTAGCGGTGACTCACGTTTATACTCATTGCTTTCGGCTATGGAGGCTAACATGTCAGAAACGAATAAATATCTGAAAGGTATATTTGACGAGCATAATGCCGCCATAAAGCGACCACGTGCGTCTATTGAAAACAATGAATTATTGATAATAGACGAAGCCGAACAAGGCGAACAGCATGAGCACTCGGCCCCAAAGAGGGCAAAAATTACCACAAAGTCTGGGCACAATTCTGACGGCAATGACCGCTCATTTGACCAGCAAAGTCCTGAGTCTGAAAGTACTGAGGGAAACTCTGAGATTGTGCATGAACAATCAGACGATACTTTGAGTTTATTCGGAGGACCAGAAATTGATTCAGAAATTGAAAACGCGGTCGATAACGATGATCTTCTTTCTGAAATTGCTCAAACACTATCTTCTAAGGAGCAAACCGGGCCCCCCATTTCAGAAAAATTGGCAAAAATCATAAACGCCAAGCTTAGCGAAGATTTTGACGCTACCAAATTAAAAGAAATTCTTAATAAGTACCCTCGGCCTAAAAATTGCGAGCAAATGTATGTGCCGAGAATAAATCAAGAAATATGGCAAAAAATGAAGCCATTTACTAAAAGGGGATATCAAAATGGCGAATCTACAAGATTCCACCATCAAAGGTTTATCAGGGCTTGCTAGTAGCATTGACAACCTTTACAATGTCGGAAAATAAGACAATTCCAAATTATAGAGCTCTTATACCAACACTGCTTGATGTAACTGCTTTATTTGGCCATGTATGCAAAGAACTTTCATACAAGCGCAAAGAGGCAATTCGGCCCATACTTCATCCTGATTTTAAACCGCTCTGTGCAAGGACTCACAAAGTGGGCCCTCTTTTGTTTGGGGAAGACCTAGCAAAATGTGCTCAAGATATTCGAAGCTCTAGTAAGACAGTAATGAATCTTATACCCAATCCAGGCCAACGGGCACAAACTATTTTTACAAAACGGTTTTCATCAACCCAATCACAGGCACGCAAGCCTTTTTTATACCAACAAGGGAGGGCACAGTTCCCTCCCAGAAAACCCCAAAACTTCCAGAACCGGAAAACATTCACAAAGAACTAGAGTTATTAAAAAATCAGGTAACACAATTTTCAGAATTTGTTGAGCATGTACTTAAACCTTATTTGACCAGAAAAGTTAATTCATTTCAGGCTGGTCAAATTAAACTATGCCACAATGAATGGGCAAAGCTTACTACAGACCCCGATATTCTTGAGATGGTTTCAGGGCAAAATTTCTTTTAAAGGTCTTAAACCAGTTCAGCACCAGTCTCCTCCTAACTCTCTTCCTAAACAAGGAAGAAGCGAAATCGATGAAGCTATTCAGGCATTGAGAGATAAAGGAGTAATTATTCCTAGTAAATTTGATTCTACTGAATTTGTATCACCTATCTTTACCACTCCTAAAAAGGATGGTGGTGTCCGCCTGATTTTAAATTTAAAGAAACTAAATGAATCGGTCGAAAACTTTCATTTTAAGATGGAAAATATCCACACTGTACTTAAACTTATCACAAAAGATTGCTGGATGGCCTCTTTAGATTTAAAAGATGCCTACTATAGCGTACCTGTCCATCCAGAATCTCAAAAGTTCTTAAAATTCCTTTACAAAGGAAAATTTTACCAATATACAGCATTTCCTAATCTCCTCTTGCCCGAGGAAATTTACTAAGCTACTTAAACCAGTTCTGGCCACATTACGTGTAAAAGGTCACGTTGTCATTATATACATCGATGATTTACTCCTGGTAGGCTGTTCCTATGAAAAGTGCCTTGACACAATTATACAAACCTTAATTTTATTAGAGAAGCTCGGGTTTGTCATTCACCCATTGAAATCTGCATTTATTCCAGTACAAGAAATAACTTTTCTTGGTTTTTTAATAAATTCACGAACAATGACAATTCAACTTACAAATAGTAAAAAAGAAAAATTGCTCTCCCTTATTAAAGCAATTCTAGCGCCCGCTAAAGTTCGGATTAGAGAAGTGGCTCAGGTAATTGGTCATATAGTATCAAGCCTTCCAGCAGTGGAATTTGGACCGCTTTACTATCGAAAGCTTGAGAAAGATAAAACTTTAGCATTATCACAAAACAAAGGCAATTTTGAATCGTTTATGATTATTTCCGATGAATCCAAAGCAGAGTTGAAATGGTGGCTAAAAAATTTAAAGGACTCTTTTAAATACATTCTATCTATACCAGTTGACATCGTCCTCTATTCAGATGCATCTCTGACTGGTTGGGGGGCCGCCCTAGGGAAAGAGTACACTGGAGGAAACTGGTGCAAACATGAAACTGAATATCACATCAATATTCTAGAAATGAAAGCCGTACTATTTGCGCTAAAATCGTTTCTTTCTAATCTAAAAATAAACATGTTAAAATGATGGTAGACAATAGTACTGCAGTGTTTGTCATAAACAATATGGGCACTAGTCATAGTGTCATGTTAAATACTACAGCATTAGAAATCTGGGAATTTTGCATAATGCACAAAATCAAAATATCTGCCGCACATTTACCAGGGTCAAAAAATGTAATTGCGGATAAAGAGTCAAGAAAATTGTACCGTGAAGGTGAATGGAGGTTAAATCCCGTTTGTATCAAGATTGCCATGAGCAAGTTTAATTTCCAGCCTGAAATTGACTTATTCGCTTCACGACTAAACAAACAGTTTAATCAATACTGCTCTTATCGACCAGACCCTGAGGCAACATATATTGATGCGTTCTCCATCCCGTGGAAAAACTTAAACTTTTATTGTTTCCCTCCTTTCAGCTGCATCTTACAAACTGTTCAAAAATTCTACAGAAAAAGCCACAGGCATTTTGGTAATACCAAATTGGCCAACACAACCTTGGTATCCCTAATCGAACCAATACTTTTACAACCTCCTCATGTTTGTCCACCGTCGCAAAACCTGCTCAAACTACCAGCTGCACCAACAGAAGTGCATCCACTAGTAAAAAAGCTAGAGTTGAAAATATGTCTTGTGTCAGGCAACAACTTACGTCAATAGGTGTCTCCAAGTTCAGCAGAGATAATCATGGCCTCTTGGAGAAAGGGAACAAAACCCAATACCAAACTTATATAACTAAATGGAGTCAATTTTGTGTTGCAACAAAATGTGAATTTTTAATCCCTCTATTACCACAATCATTCAATTTTAACTAACCTTTTTCATTCAGGGCTATCTTACTCTGCTATAAATTCTGCACGCAGTGCATTATCTGCCATATGCCAGACCAACAATCACACTATTCCATTTGGGCAACATCCTTTAGTGAAAAGATTCATGAAGGGTATATTTGAATTAAGACCTACATTCCCTCGCTACAATTCTATTTGGGATGTTAATATTGTGTTTAATTACTTAAGGAAACAACCCCCTATACATGAGTTAACATTAAAAGATCTTACTATTCGATTAACGTTCCTTCTTCTAATACTAAGTGGAAAACGAGGGCAAACTATCCACCTGCTAAATTTAACCGACATGGATCTATCTGAATCGAAATGTGTATTTTCAATCCGAGAAAAAATCAAAACAACTAGACTTGGTCATCACATTGCTCCTATTACATATGAAGCCTACCCTCATGAACCAGAACTCTGCATTGTACGGCACCTGAAGGAATACATTGAACGAACTAACGAATTGCGCAGCTCTAATTGTAAAAAACTTTTAATAAGCTTTATAAAACCGCATCAAGCGGTTTCCGGAATACTATCTCACGTTGGTGTAAAACATTATTAAACGCTGCAGGTATTGACACCAAAGAGTTTGGCAGTCACAGCACTCGAGCTGCATCCGCTTCATTTGCTGCAACACAAGTAGGGGATATGACGAAAATTGTTGAATCGATTGGCTGGTCGAATGCAACCACTTTTCAGACATTTTACAATAAACCTATTAAGAAAACTTTTAATCTAGGTTCCACCATTTTACGGCAAAACGAAATTAGCTAAATCGTTATCTTTTGTGGAAAAATTTAAATTTTAAATATAATCAATGTATGTAAAATTTGCAACCATCTCTTTTTCTGTTGTTAACCTTTTTTGCAGGCAAACTACTTTGTTAATAGACACATTACATCCTGACTCCATTGCTTGCTGTGAAATCTCGTACAACTCTGACACGACCATAGCTGATGACGTAGTAGAATTTAAAAATTAAACGAAACTTACCTTAAGTTGAAGTTTGATTTGAATTCTACAAGTCATCAGCGGAAGAGTTGTACGCCCATTCAAATTGAATTTTACCCACCTCAAACTCTTCCACTCTTGCAATGGATTCCGGCTGGCTTTGAAATCTGGCTAACTTGCGCATGCGTATGCTCTCTCTCGTACAACTCTTCCACTCCCCGCTGATGACTTGTAGAATTCAAATCAAACTTCAACTTAAGGTAAGTTTCGTTTAATTTTTAAATTCATTCATAAATTTTTCACCCTCTTGAAAAAAATCGCAAAATCAGAAGTTAACGGATTAACTCGGACATTTTCGGAAAACATCGGACATTTTCGAAAACCCTCGGAAATATTCGAAAAACATCGGATTATCTTAAAATCGCCGTTGTTTTGAAAGAACTGTCGAGCTATGAAGATTTTTTTTTCATTGAACTATAATTTATCTATACATTCTTTATGAAAATGATGAAAATACAAAAATACGTAATATTTAGAAAAGTTCACAAAAAGTTTACAAACTTTTAACATTCATGAAATGTTCATGAAGAGAGCAAAAAGTTCACAAATCTGTGAACAGTGTTCACGATTTGGCAACACTAATTCAGACAGTAAGCATGACAATGTTACCTCAGTTGGCTATCAGTCAAAATCGGTCAAACCAATTACACAGTAAGATAAAACCTTAAACGAACCAATTACACGAGAGCAATTAGACACTCTTATCGGTCCGGTCACTCCTCTTATCGATCGATATTATTCCAGATCGTCTACTGATCTGGCTATTGACCAATGGAATGGTTTTAATTAGCCGTTCTTGAACTCCATTATCGGTCGAACCAGTCGAGCCACCACGCTTATCGGTCAGGTAATATAATTCCAGATATGTTAAAATCTAGTGATCTGTTTGCTAACGTGATATTTACGTAAGATTTCAGACATAAAACAGAATTTTGACAATGAAATTCAAACGATTATACATCAGAAATTTTATGATCGCAAAAAATTTTAATCGTTAAATTTGATAAGTAATTTCTGAACTCTAAACATCGCGAGACTGATTTGACATACCCTAGATCCGCCCCTGATTTAAATAATGTAAGAATGACATTAAAAATCAGACATGTGATATGATACGTTTCAGAAATGAGCAGAAAATACATTGTACACAATGATATACTCACACTCCCTTGCAATGTGCGAAAATCGTCAGAAATTTAGTATTTTCAAAATATTATTAAAAAAATAACAAAAGTACACTACCGTTTCTCCAAAAATAGAAATACCAATGACGCTCCATGTAAAATCATTACAAGTCATGTGCTTTCAGATTTATTGGTCGAGTGACAAAGGACCTGAGTTTCTATGATTTGAGCACGCGACCTTTAACGTGACAAGCAAAGTGTTGACATTCGGCAAGTGTATGATTCGTGCTACAGCAAACAGTGAGCATGAAGCACATTTTTGAAAACTTAAGCAGTTTTTAAAGTTTGATGTAAATTACTTAAATATGTATTACTTTTTGAATTATTTTCATTTTGTGACAACACATTTACCGCGCTATCCACATCTACATACGTACCTCCTTTTATAGTTTTAAATTTCATTTGGCAACACTTATTTTAGATCGAAAATATAGTTAGAGTTTATGGAATGAATAATATTGCCGAAAAATACTCACAAAAAATCGCAGCAGGCAACAATTATTCTTAACCAAAATCAAGGAAGTGCAACCAATGGTGCTCAAATTTCGTCGAACATTCGCTTTTGGAACAATCCACGCGGAATATGGATATTATTCATATCAAACGAGCACCAGCGAGGGTGCACTTTAATCTCGACAGTGTAGATAAGCTAGAGAACATTCGAGAACATTCGCCGTCTTCCATGAACTGTGTATAGTAAACAGATCAATAAGTCGCATAATCCACTAATATTTACACAAATTGTTCGTGATTTTTCCTCCACCCTTTGTATCAAATATTTTAAACAAATATCGGAATTAATGTGCCCTTTTTTTATTGCAGGCTAATAAACAAGTCGATGAAAATTGGTGGTTGACATTTACTATGTTTTAAAATTTCAGCTATAATGTTCAAACAAAATATTTTCTTGCATATTAAACACGCCATTTCAATACTTTTATGAAATATATTATGAAATGGAATCTTCAGAATTTGTTACTCTCATGCTTGAAGTTTCATGGCGTGCCCAATCCACATGGCTAGGCAGCTGCTGCGAAACTTTCATTTACCATCACCAACCTGTATTACCTACTGCAGGAATAGTAGACTTTGAAAATTATATCAACCATCGTGCATTTCAAAGGGCCTAATTATTGTAAGTATTATGTTATGGGCAATTAGCATAATAGAAATGAGAGTTGCGAATACTGTGATAATCATATTACATCATCTGTACTGGGGTGCACCGATGGAAATAGATTTATCTTTGGGCAGAGACCAATACAAAATATTGCCTAGGCATATAATTTTGTCCAACTGATTATGTGAATAAAACAAACAGCAAACATTAAATGAAGCATACCAAGTACTGTATTCAATAGAAACATAATGCAATAGAGCATCAACGAATAAAACAGAAATTTTGGTTCAGAAGATACAAGTATCCTCAATACAAGGGAGGCCGAAGCTTGATAAATAAGGGCGCTATATTTATATATATTAATATTGTACAATTCGTAATAATGATTGATTTCAATACAAAACAATACAGAAGTATGTGCATATATGAATATTATTAGCCATTTAATCATTGATTGCATTTTGTTAAGGGATTTGAAAAAACCATCAGCTGTGGCTCTTAAATTTTGACAAAATTAAATGCTGAATCTGGCCATTTCATTGCTTCATATGATTTTGACAGGATTGTGGGATTAAATAATATGGCCAAGGGCATTTTCAGTCATTGAATATTCAATAAAATGTTTTTTGCTGCTTTACTTACAACTAAAGCAAAATTTTGACCAAGCGGCAACGACAACAAACTTCCTCGTGCCATTCTCTTACACGGTCAAACTTCGTACTCGTTGTCGTATTCGTACTCTTGCTAAAACTCCCTATTACCTCCATTATTACAATTGATGGCATCATTAAGGGCTCTTTTCCACTCATCGCAAAATGCTCTCGCTGCGAGCTTGCGAGTCTGTTCGCGCGATCAAAAATTTTGTTCAACTAATTTAACTATGCTGTAACTCGCAGGTACTCGCAGCGAGCTTGCGAGTACGTTTTGCGATGAGTGGAAAAGAGCCTTAAGTCAGTTCTAAGTTGAAACATGTCTATTTTATAAAAATTGTTCATTTTAAGGATTTGCCTACGCAAGCAAAAAGTAAAAAAATCCTTTGTGCGATATTTACAATGCATAAATGTTGACATCTAAAAAAGCCTACTTTTCAAGAAGTAAACACGCTGGAAAATACTTGTATTTGGTGACATCCGAAAGTACGTTTTTTGAGGATTTCAAAATGTCTTTACTTTTGTGGCCTAAATTTGTGAAGCGAATCTACAGTCATGCAAAGTCGACTGTGAAGGTTGTACAAACAACATAAATAATGCGGATTTGCCACAAATAAGGTAAGATAAGAGCACATTCAAATTGTACATGAAGTTACCTTTGCTGTTATGACATTGTGTATTCAACCTTATTTTATTTTTGAAACAAATGCACCAGTTTACTAAGTGTTCATTTTATTCTTGTTAAGGTCAAAAACATATATAATGTGTTAAGCAATGGATCATTCGATGGATAACAGGTATGTTATATGTAATAAAGCAAAAGTCTATTTACAGTTATTGTAGACCTAATAGCTAGATTATATGTGAAGAGTAATACAGTCTAACCTGTTTTAAGTACACACCATTGGACAACAGACTAGTGTCAGCTTAATGAAAGTGTCAGCTTGATTGAGGTTTCATCATTATACTTTCATTATTATTAACTATATAAGATTAAATTTTGGATTTTACACAGTATCTGCTTAGTACAGGGTCATTTGATACAGGAGGTTTGACTGTATATATTATATCATTTAAGAATTCGATTTTTTTGTCAGATATTTCAAACACCAAGTCAGATCATTAAATTTCATACAGAAAGACCTGATTGATTATAGAAATTGCACTCTTTGCCCACAAGTCAGTATTTGATTTCTTTTTTTCTACTATTTGCTTTGTGAACTATTTTGAATTATGTATTTTTTGTCACATATATTATCAAAACATTTAAAGTTGTTGTGAAATATGAAGTGCTACATGTTTACCATAAAATTCATTTTATTTTATTAAAGAGCTTTGTTTGCTTTAGACTGGTGAGTTAGGTGTGGCCATTCATTCCATGGATGCTTGCTTTGGTCTAACTTGTAAATCGTTGGCAGGGAATAGTTTTGCCGTCCCAAACCATGGCTGCCTCAAGTTTGCTGATCAAGATGAAGTAGATGATTTTATTGATCATTATAACAAGTCTAACAACAAAGTAGGAGAGGTAATTATTGCTTCATGAAGAACTTTGAAGCCTATTCAAAAGTATTCTGTGAAGGGGAGAGTGAATAGTTTGAAAACAAAGTTTATATGTAGTCCATGAATAAGCAATGGCGAAGCCAGCACTTTTTTACTTTTGTATTGCAAATATTTTTGTATTCAATCACTGGAAAAACAATGAATGGATTTGATTTTCTAAAGAAATTATTAACAATTTTGCTGACAAATTTGCATTTTAAGAGTAAAAAATCGGGCAGGCTTTGCCCCTGAGAAAAGTGGGTCTATGCTTCATGCAGGTCCATGGGCCCTGATACATACGTAAGTAGTTACGTGGATTTAAAATCAAAATTACAAACACCCAATTTTTTTCTTTTCCTCTAATTTATCATGTTTATACATGGTCTATGACTTGACTGTGTAAACTGTCAGAACCAGATGACGTAAGAACCAGATAACAAATACGGCTAATTTGACGTTTACTCGTCATTTGACTCTGAAGATGACTACAGCTAAAATTGTTGAAACGTCAGTCAACAACAACAAAAACAGTTCTTCTCAGGACTTTATTAACCTGGACGATCTACATTTACAAACATGGAACGATACTCCCGGGTTCTACCCATTTACTTGAAAAATTATCAGTTAGCGTATATATCACAAGAAATTAGCAACTGTCGAGCCAAATGTTGATATTGACTTATTAAAAAAAAATTCATTTGAAGTAGTACACTGCGTTTACACTATATTGGATTCGCTCATAACGACATCTTCATTTGCTTTAAATGGGTTCAATCTGTTCAGATTAAATGTTTATTAAGTTGACTATTTAATTGTGTTTCTGACACTGAACGTTATCACTGCTTTCAATACTTAGAAAATTTAACCTGCTCTGATAACAATCCCGGTTAGTGTACGCAAACCGGGCCTTAGTTATTATTATAATTTCAGAAACACCATTTACTTTTATAAAAGAGTTTATATTGTTTGATGGGCGAAGTGTACATTTGGCAGTGAAATCAAACATATTTATATGAAAGTCATACGTCTTTAACCAAAGTAATTGAGAGTAAAAATCGAATAATCAGAAATTGTATCAATGATAAATATAAGCTTGATTCACCATGCACAAATGTGTTTAGGTATCATCCAAATACGTCGTGAAAAGTGTTTTTACTTTACATGTATAAAATAACATCTTTAACTACAGTATCGTTGATTTCTAATTTGTTTTCCTGCCTATAAACTTTTCATTGATGTCGTTCGCTTTCATTAAAAACTGAAAAAGTTCTTAGTTCTCGGTTGTTTTTCTATTCGTCATTTGACCTGACGGGGATTTCAGAAAGAACTCCTTAGGATCATCGACTTTATACAATGGATGATTTTAGTGTTGGTGACAATCCATTTATCTAGCTGTCAAGGAAAGCCAACATTTAAATAATCATATACGTCAAAATGTGTTTGTCTTTTCCAATCTGAGGAAATTATAATTTACAACGGTATCTACAAATTCTTCCTGGACGCTTGCCTTTTCACAAACTGTTCTTACTGTTTAAAAACTGTTTATTTTTGATGTGATTTCTTTCCACTGAAATAGAAAAAGTTCTTGAGTTCTGGATTGTTTTTCAGTTCTTCATTGGATCTCACCGCAGCGTGCACCCTAACAGGGAGATTGGGAAATGTTTTGAGAAAATACGACTTGTGATCACCAATCTTATAAAATGGTTCTGGTTGTGGTAGAGGTCGTTGTTCATCGTACCAATGTTCACCAGTATTTCGAATAAGTCTCAAGCACTCTGTCTTTGAAGATCCATACCTAAAAATCCTTCCAGTCCTCACGTTCGTTCTAAAATAATCATATACATCACTATCCATTTGGCTTCTCCAATCTAAAGTTTCGCTATTCAGATGTTGAACGACAATTGACTTGGAATCATTCGTCTTAATCTGTTGAAGATTTCCAACTTTCCATAATAAATCAAATTTCTCGTTATCCGACATAAGAAATGGGTGTTTAAACGCCTCGGTAGCTGATGGTCTATCTTCGGGTTGTCGATTTAACATCCACGACAGAAAGTCTTTTAATGTTTCATCCTTGATTTCCACCAAACCAACAGGTTTTCCATCTAACATGTTAATCAGTCTACGGGGTTTAGTTCCAAAAGGATGTTTTCCTTTTGTTGCAATATAATATGTTACCATTCCTGCATTCTAAAACGATTAACAATGTAATGTCACAACTTGACTGTATATATGCATTAAGTAAAAATTGTTATATTCCTATACTGTTATAATAATGTAGTATATTGCTTGTAAAACCCTCAGAAACCTTAGGTTTCTAGAACACCGCAGACAGCTGGCTCAACACACGTGTACTTATTATATTTTAAGTGTTAAACGGACCACTATTAAATAGTTCACAAATCCAGAACCGTATTGCAACATACACTTACATATACATCAGACTGTTTCTTGTACCGTCCTTTATCAACAGAATCTTCATCTTCACAATATGATTCAGGAGCAATCCAATACTCCGTTCCTGTGTTAGGCTTGCTTTCATATGTCGTACAATCATTATTCAATATTTGACTAATGCCAAAGTCAGCTATCAGAAAGTTGTCTTGTGAGTCTCGGAGAACATTGGAGGGCTTTAAGTCCCGATGAATAATAGGATTTTCGCCACTATGAAGATCAGCTAATCCATTTAAAATTTGTCTAATAATTTTGGGAAGAGCGTTTTGAAGATCACTTAGGGAAGAAGATTTCACATAACTCTCCAACGATTCTTCACATAAGTCTAATATTAAATAGACATACTCCGTTCCAGTATTTTCTTCTAAGAAGGAATAATTCACAACATATTTCGATTTCTTTGCGTTGAATTGATTTAAAATTTCTTTTTCTTTCTGTGCAAGCTTCATGCAGTTGTCTCGACGTATTCGTTTCACTGCTTTGCCGTAACCATCCTTTCTGAGTCCAAGAAAAACACGGGTCTCGTTACTTCCTTTACCGATGCAAAAATCGTCCGAAAAAATCACACGTACATCACTCACTTCTTCAACCTTGACACTGGGATCGCGTGCACACTTAAGCAGATTTGAAAACATTTCTTTATGCTTCTTTGATTCATCATTGTATTTCCACTCTTGCAACTTTGATTCTAAAAAAATTCAATAAAAGAATTGAATTCATGCATGGGTAAAAGAAACACATATTAACACCGCATATTTTTAAAATCCTTATCAATAACTACTTATATGAAAGAATGTTTTATGCAGTGCGGTGTTTGAAATTAAATGAAGATATGATCTTCGCACTTTGCTGGACAAGTTAAGCAATTGTCTCATGAACCTGAAAAATTCAGGTTTCTCAACGGGATTCGAACCCATGACCTCTGCGGTTACCGGTTGACCTGCTCACAACTGTGCGACTTCATAGCTCAGTGGGTCAGAGCACTGCACCGGCACCGCAGAGGTCATAAAATCCCGTTGAATCACCTGAATTTTCAGGTTCATGAGACAATTGCAAATTGTCCAGCAAAATCGAAGATCATATCTTTAATAACTACTTATGATAGACATAGCATAAATTTCTTAATTGTACAATCAAATCTGGTAACATTGAGGTTAGCTTATACCAAAAAATTAATTACAAAAAGTTTTTTTATTCAAATATTTTATTGATTTTCGTCGAGGAATAACCTTAAATTTCTTAAACATATTAAGTTAAAATTTTGAGAGCATGTTTTTTACACTCGTCTTTTAGGGGCTGAATGCATGATCCGGTAGCCGAGATTCAGCAAAGCTTTAAATGACTTTGACAAATGGAAATGATTCAATACTCATCAACAGATAACTCTTCTCGAGCATTTTCATAACATTCTCATTTAACTAAATTAATAATTACGCCAAAATTTAAAAATGAAAACAACCAAATTGGCGTAATTGGAAAATGTTAACGAGAATGACTTGTGGCGCTTAACAACGTGAAATGATTTCGAGGCATTGAAAGGGGGAAAAACTTCAAGCTTAAAAATTACAATTGTTTGTGAAAGGCCACAAGTCATTCCTGGTGAAATTCTAAAATTAGGCCAAACTGGTTGTTTCAATTTTAAATTTTTTGCTCTGTTATTAAATCAAAATGTTGTGAAATTCCTCAAGAAGATTTATCTCATGGTAAGTACCGACTTCTTTCCACTTGCCAAATAACGCCTTAACGCCTTGCTGAATTCCAGTTAGTGAAGTCAGGATCATTTAAACACCCTCTTACCGGATGAACTTTCTTATGTTTTCTGTTAAACTTTTAATGTTGAAATGCAATCAAATCCATAAATATTATTCTCTCAAACTTTGTTTTGATATCTGATACGTACTGTTCCTCTTATGCACCTTAGCAAAGTGACGCTTGTTATCTTTATCCCCGTAAACTAAAGCTCTACCTCGTGTTTTTCTCATTCTCGTGCAGCATTGCTGGCATCATTTTCCCCTTGCTAAACTGAATATGGTTATTTGCAGTATTTAGCTATTTTATCCAACATATGATGATTTATTTGTAAGAAACAAGTTTTCTGTCATGTGCCTGAGTATTCAAGGAAAATTCCGTTTTAATGAAATTTCTACCAAAGAAGAAAAGAAATCATGCCATATCAATAATTTTTTTAACAATACGATAAAAGTAAGCCATTCAAATTCTTGCCATATTTTTCAGTTCACTTGACTTTCACAAGAATTTGGCATTCACAAGATATTATTCGACCACAACTGAAGATATGATTAGCTCCCTCCCCATTAAGCGTTACAGTTTCGGCACTCTTTACAGTAGTCCGTGCTACAATATCTGAGAAAACACGATACAGCCATTGAGTTCTGTAAGCGATATTTCAGCAGCAGCGTTATTAAACACCCCTCTCCCATTTCATTAAAAGTTATAGTTTCGGTCCTCTATACAGTGGTCCGTGCTAAAATATCTGAGTAAACATTATACAGCCAATGAATTCTGTAAGCGATATTTCAGCAGCAGCGTTATTAAACATCCCCTCCCCATCCCGCTAAAAGTTATAGTTTCGGCCCTCTATACAGTGGCCCGTGCTAAAATATCTGAGTAAACATGATGCAGCCAATGAGTTCTGTAAGCGGTATTTCAGCAGCAGCGTTATTCTTGCTTAATCTTGTGGCTTAAGTCGTAAGTCCCTTGGTCTGATTCACGTGCACTTTTTAATGGTGGTCATCAAGCCAGTTGAAAATCATCAATTAAGACACAGTATGAATCATAAATAAGATTTTTGGACTCATTTGCTCTTCTAATATAGTCCAAATAATTATATTTGTTTATTTCGAGATTAGTGGGAGTAATGTTTTGAAATCCATGAATAAAGTCGTTGTTTTTATGTTTTGCGATTAGTAACGTTATTTGCTTATATATTTTTTGGAAACTTTCTTGTAGAAAAAACTGATACAGCAAATTTTATGCTCTATGCAACTTTCAAAATGCAATTGTAAGTTAAAAGTATTCAAATTTTAGTTCTAAGCTGGAAAATTATCTTTGTGGATGTTCACATTAAAGAAGTATATTTAGCAAGGAGACCGCTCAAAAAACATGTAATTTTCAGTAAGTTTAGAATTTAGATGATCGTTTAATAAATGTGAAATTTAATGCTACATTTGTCATAATGTAGACAAATGAGAAAACATAATGTAGACATTGAGAAACTGACTCATTTTCCATATGATTTTGAGGTATTTTACTTCGAATGAATAGGAATTTTTATTTATTGAAGTATATTAAGTAAGTCGATTTGATGGTGGCCGTTCTTTGCATGATTTTTAATGTCATTAGCTAGGTATTGTATGCATGGTGGTGCAAACGTGAAGTATGACAGTATATACAAAAGATAGTTTGTTGAGAAGTTTTTATGATTAAACAAACAGAATACAAATAAACGTTACTTTAAAAAAATAGGTTGAATGATATCATTATCACCTCATGTCTCATCTTAATTTCAACTGACAGATAACGTGCTTCAAGTACGAATTGTAAAGTGACAAGATTTTAATGTCATGATTAAAACAGATTAAACCAGCCGCAAATGTTACCATTCAGTGTTGCTTAGACATGTGATGAAAAAAACTCATATATTTCATAACATTTGTTAATGTAAAAGGTTGATTGAAGACTGTATTCAAAGAAAATTAGTTGGTGATGTTTTTTCAATTGTTTCAACACTATCGATGCTGATAGTAGCAAAAAAAATTAATTTCTATTTTGAAAAAGTTATACTCCGACTCATCTCCTGTACTCTAACAAAGAAAATAGTAATTAACGTAATCAAACACAAACACTTTTCCAACAGTTGGTCTAACATGAACACTTTTAAAATGCAGGGTCGACTTGTATGGTGTACATCACGTTAAGATTTGTTTTAAAAGGTTTTAGTCCATTTATTATAATACTTTTTCTTCAATACAACTTATGAAATGTAGTGAATTTGAGTACTTTATAAAAAGAGTTTAACCACACAAGCTGTGTATTTCTATTTTAACAACAAGTAAAAAAATGAATTTAAAGCTAGCGCTCGAAAAGAAATAACACAAATAAATTGGAAATTTGGGATAGTAACTTTTTAAAACTATATAATTCATGTCGTTATGTCCATTAGTACCAAAATTTCGTATACATATATTACGCACTGTTTTACATGACTGACATTTTCAAGTAATAAAATGACCTTACAATTGGAAAGATTGAGGGGGCAGTATATATTTTCACGTAATGAACCAGCTTTCATTAGGCGTAATTTTACCAATAAATGTAGATAAACAAACTTCAGAAATTACGACTGCCAAAGATAATTTTGATAAAATACAAGAGAATAGACACTGTATATAGTAAACATTATTTATCTAGATTGAATAATGTTTACTATGTACGAAGTGTCTATTGTCTTGTGTTTTACCAAAATTTCATGAAGCAAACAGCAAATGTTTTGTAAAACGAAAATAAACACAAAACAAAAAACCATGGTATGTGTGGAAGTCAAAAAAGAACATTAGAAAAGTGGGTTTTATTATCTAGGAGACACAATTTAAAACTATATATTTTCTGCTGGCAAAAACTAGAGGAGTGAAAGCCAGTCCTTGCAAAACAGCAAGAATGAAAAAAGGAAAGAAAGCTTCGTTTCAGGACAAATAATACCATATAGCTAATTGACTTTTTATTAATCTCGCCTGCTCGGTCTTTATTGAGAAATCTTGGACCTCTGTTTTTATCACAAACCTCTCCCTAAGGGTATCGGTCAGTACAAATAAATTCAGTCCGATAATTCTCCGTAAAGACCTCACACTCGGTTATTAAGGGCGTTTTAATGAATTCAGACATTGATAAGTGTTAACGAACTGTTGTCGCCAATCTCTGTCGAGTATCTTAGTAATTATAAGAAAAGGTTGCTAAAATCCGTTACTTTTAGCTATCTGTTTTGAGGACAAGAAAACTACTACAAAGTTATACGAATTTATGCAACCTGTCAAAGAACGAAAATTGTAAGCAGACACAAACATTAACACATTTTTTAGCGTTGTTGTTTTAGGGAAACATCCTGCAGGAAACATAATGACTGGAATTGCTATAATAATGTTTGGTATCAATGTCAGTCACGCTATGTCAATGTAGTTTCAATAATTTATTAATAGCAAAATAGCAGTTAAACATTTCATACAGACCACGATTTGATAATATGTAGACACATGTTTTGTCAAGCTTTTGCTATCTTTGTTGCTCAAATCATTTATTTATGTTTTATATTAAGCAACTTGATAAAACTAGATCTCAGTAAACAAATACGATGTCAAAGACTCAAGGTGTGTTTAAATTTTGATACGTATATGTTATAAGATTATATTTAAATGTATGCTTTAATTCTAGGAGTCACTTTGAAATAGACACCAGGTATAAGGAATATTATTATCTCTAAATTGGTGCAATGTTGTATTTTAATTTTACAACTAACAATGAGTTTACAGCTGTTATAAATCTTGGGCAATGTTTGTTTGATTAAAATGTTTTGTTTCCACCTCACTGTTCTTTAGACCGGGTTTTATGTATACGTTTTTGGTTTATAGGTAGATGTTTGAATTATTGTTTTTGTTGAATAATGTAAATATGAATCCAAACTGCGTTTTAATTAGTGTTTTGGCCCTTTTGTTTGTCTACAACCACAATAAACAACCCAGTCCTCACATGAAACAATTTGTATGTCAATGAACCACTTAAATCTAGGACTTTAAATTCAATATGAAGAAATTTTTTTGCATTATACTATGAAATTTGTATATATTCTTACCCAAAGATTTTTTTTTAATTTCCAGAGCTTTTTCGTGAACCTCTCTAGCTTTGTCATAGTTTTCAGTTTTTTCAAGCACATTACCATGATTGTTTAAAGACGCAGCGACATCAACATGATTTGGACCTAGCGATTGTTTTCGAATTTCCAGAACTTTTTCGCTAAACTCTAAAGCTTTGTCGTAGTTTCCAGTTTTGTAATACACCAAACCAAGATTGTTTAAAGTCGCAGCGACATCAACATGATTTGGACCTAACGATTGTTTTTTAATTTCCAGAGCTTTTTCGTAAAACTTTATAGCTTTGTCGTAGTTTCCAATTTTACAATACACATTACCAAGATTGATGAAAGAATCAGCAACATCAAAATGATTTGGACCTAACGATTGTTTTCGAATTTCTAGAGCTTTTTCGTGAAGCTCTACAGCTTTGTCGTAGTTTCCAGTTTTTTCAAACACCAAACCAAGATTGTTTAAAACAGCAACATCAACATGATTTAGACCTAACGATTGTTTTCGAATTTCGAGAGCTTTTTCGTAAAACTTTAAAGCTTTGTCGAAGTTTCCAATTTTATAATACACATTACCAAGATTGATGAAAGAATCAGCAACATCAACATGATTTGGACCTAACGATTGTATTCGAATTTCTAATGCTTTTTCGTGAAGCTCTGCAGCTTTGTCGTAGTTTCCAGTTTTTTCAAACACCAAACCAAGATTGTTTAAAGTCGCAGCGACATCAACATGATTTAGACCTAACAATTGTTTTTTAATTTCCAGAGCTTTTTCGTAAAAGTCTATAGCATTGTCGTAGTCTCCAGTTTTTTCAAACACCAAACCAAGATTGCTTAAAGATGCAGCGACATCAACATGATTTGGACCTAACGATTGTTCTCGAATTTTCAGAGCTTTTTTGTTGAATTCTATAGCTTTGTCGTAGTTTGCAGTATTATAATACACATTACCAAGATTGTTTAAAGAATCAGCAACATCAATATGATTTGGACCTAACGATTGTTTTCGAATTTCTAGAGCTTTTTCGTGAAGTTCTACAGCTTTGTCGTAGTTTCCAGTTATTTCAAACACCAAACCAAGATTGTTTAAACACATAGCGACATCAACATGATTTGGACCTAACGATTGGTTTTGAATTTCCAGAGCTTTTTCATAAAACTCTATAGCTTTGTCGTAGTTTCCAGTTTCAGTAAACACCAAACCAAGATTGTGTAAAGAGTCAGCGACATCAACATGATTTGGAACTAAAGATCGTTTTCGAATTTCTAGAGCTTTTTCGTAAAACACTATGGCTTCGTCGTACTTTCCAGTATAATAATACACAATACCAAGATTGTATAAAGACGCAGCGACATCAACATGATTTGGACCTAACAATTGTTGTCGAATTTCTAGAGCTTTTTCGTAAAACTCTATGGCTTCGTCGTACTTTCCAGTATCATAATACACAATACCAAGATTGTATAAAGACGCAGCGACATCAACATGATTTGGACTTAACAATTGTTGTCGAATTTCCAGAGCTTTTGTGAACCTCTTTAGCTTTGTCGTACTTTCCAAGTTTTTCAATACCACACCAAGATTGTGTAAAGATGCAGCGACATCAATATGATTTGGACCTAACGATTGTTGTCGAATTTCCAGACCTTTTTCGTAAAACTCTATAGCTTTGTCGTATTTTCCGAATTTTTCATTGACCACACCAAGATTGTGTAAAGATGCAGCGACATAAATATGATTTGAACCTAACGATTGTTTTCGAATTTCCAGAGCTTTTTCGTGAGCCTCTTTAGCTTTGTCGTAGTTTCCAGTTTCAGTAAACACCAAACCAAGATTGTTTAAAGACCCAGCGACATCAACATGATTTGTACCTAACAACTGTTTTCGAATTTCCAGAGCTTTTTCGTAAAACTCTATAGCTTTCTCGTACTCTCCAGTACCATAAACACGATACCAAGATTGTTTAAAGACGCAGCGACATCAACATGATTTGGACCTAACAATTGTTTTCGAATTTCCAGAGCTTTTTTGTGAACCTCTTTAGCTTCCTCGTACTTTCCAACTTTTTCACTGACCACACCAAGATTGTGTAAAGATGCAGCGACATCAATATGATTTGGACCTAACGATTGTTTTCGAATTTCAAGAGCTTTTTCGTGAACCTCTTTAGCTTTGTCGTAGTTTCCAGTTTTTTCAAACACCAAACCAAGATTGTTTAAAGACCCAGCGACATCAACATGATTTGGACCTAACAACTTTTGTCGAATTTCTAGAGCTTTTTCGTGAACCTCTTTAGCTGTGTCGTATTTTTCAATATCATAATACACAATACCAAGATTGTTTAAAGATGTGGCGACATCAACATGATTTGGACCTAACGATTGTTTTCGAATTTCCAGAGCTTTTTCGTAAAACTTTATAGCTGTGTCGTATTTTCCAATATAATAATACACAATACCAAGATTGTTTAAGGATGTGGCAACATCAATATGATTTGGACCTAACGATTGTTTTCGAATTTCAAGAGCTTTTTCGTGAACCTCTATAGCTTTGTTGTACTTTCCAATATCATAATACACAATACCAAAATTGTTTAAAGATGTGGCGACATCAACATGATTTGGACCTAACGATTGTTTTCGAATTTCCAGAGCTTTTTCGTAAAACTTTATAGCTGTGTCGTATTTTCCAATATAATAATGCACAATACCAAGATTGTTTAAGGATGTGGCAACATCAACATGATTTGGACCTAACAACTGTTTCCGAATTTCTAGAGCTTTTTCGTAAACCTCTATAGCTTTGTCGTACTTTCCAGTTTTTTTAAACACCACACCAAGATTGTTTAAAGATGCAGCAACATCAACATGATAGGGATCTAACGATTTTTTTCGAATTTCCAGAGCTTTTTTGTAAAACTCTATGGCTTTGTCGTAGTTTCCAGTGTAAGAATACACAGTACCAAGATTGTTTAAAGAATCAGCGACATCAACATGATTTGGACCTAACGATTGTTTTCGAATATCCAGAGCTTTCTCGTAAAACTCTATAGCTTTGTCGTAGTTTCCAGTACAAGAATACACAGGAGCAATATTGTTTAAAGATTTAGCGACATCAACATGATTTGGACCTAACGATTGTTTTTGAATTTCCAGAGCTTTTTTGTAAAACACTAAAGCTTTGTCGTACTTTCCAATATTTTTAAACAAAAATCCAAGATTGGGTAAAGACGCAACGACTCAACATGATTTGGACCTAACGATTGTTTTCGAAATTCCAGAGCTTTTTCGTGAATCACTTTAGCTTTGTCGTACTTTCCAACTTTTCAAAGACCAAACCAAGATTGTAAAATACGCAGCGACATTAACATGACTTGGCTAACGATCGTTTTCGAAATTCCAGAGCTTTTCGTAAACCACTTTAGCTTCGCCGTACTTTCCAACTTTTTCAAAGACCAAACCACGATTGTATAAAGACGCAGCGTCATCAACATGATTAAAACCTAAAGATTGTTCTTGAATTTCCAGAGCATTTGGGTGAACTTCTGTAGGTTTGCTGTAGTCTCCAAGATATTTAAAGACCAAACCCGAATAGTGTAAAAACCTAGGGTCATCAACATTACTTGGACGTAAAGATTGGTTTTGAATTTCCATAGCTTTTTCGTGAAACTCTATAGCTTTTTCGTAGTTTCCACTTTTATCAAACACCAAACCAAGATTGTGTAAAGAGGCAGCGACTCTAACATGATTTGGACCTAACGATCGTTTTCGAATATCTAGAGCTTTTTCGTAAAACTCTATGGCTTCGTCGTACTTTCGAGTATCATAATACACAATACCAAGATTGTTCAAAGATGTGGCAACATCAACATGCTTTGGACCTAACGATTGTTTTCGAATTTCCAGAGCTTTTCGTAAAACTCTATAGCTTTGTCGTAATTTCCAGTTTCATAATGCACAATACCAAGATTGTTTAAAGATGCAGCGACATCAACATGATTTGGACCTAACGATTGTTTTGAATTTCCAGAGCTTTTCGTAAACTCTATAGCTTTGTCGTAGTTTCCAATTTTGTTAAACACTACCAAGATTGTTTAAAGATGTAGCCACATCAACATGATTTGTACCTAACGATTGTTTTCGAATTTCCAGAGCTTTTCGTGAAACTCTATAGCTTTTCGTAGTTTCCAGTATCATAATACACAATACCAAGATTGTTTAAAGATGTAGCGACATCAACATGATTTGGACCTAACGATTGTTTTGAAATTCCAGAGCTTTTCGTGAACCTCTATAGCTTTGTCGTAGTTTCCAGTGTTTTTAAACACCAAACCAAGATTGTTTAAAGACGCAACGACATCATTATGATTTGGACCTAACGATCGTTTTCGAAATTCCAGAGCTTTTTCGTGAACCTCTATAGCTTTGTCGTAGTTTCCAGTTTTTAAACACCAAAACAAGATTGTTTAAAGACGCAGCGACATCAACATGATTTGGACCTAACGATTGTTTTGAATTTCCAGAGTTTTTCGTGAACCTCTATAGCTTTGTCGTAGTTTCCAGTTTTTTTAAACACCAAACCAAGATTGTTTAATAACAGAGTAACATCAACATGATTTGGACCTAACGATTGTTTTCGAATTTCCAGAGCTTTTTCGTAAACCTCTATAGCTTTGTCGTACTTTCCAATATCATAATACACAATACCAAGATTGTTTAAAGATGTGGCGACATCAACATGATTTGGACCTAACGATTGTTTTCGAATTTCCAGAGCTTTTTCGTACAACTTTATAGCTGTGTCGTATTTTCCAATATCATAATAAACAATACCAAGATTGTTTAAAGATGTGGCAACATCAACATGATTTGGACCTAACAATTGTTGTCTAATTTCCAGAGATTTTTCGTAAACCTCTTTAGCTTTGTCGTAGTTTCCAGTTTCAGTAAACACCAAACCAAGATTGTTTAAAGACCTAGCGACATCAACATGATTTGGACCTAACAACTGTTTTCGAATTTCCAGAGCTTTTTCGAAAAACTTTATAGCTGTGTCGAATTTTTTAATATCATTATACACAATACCAAGATTGTTTAAAGATGTGGCAACATCAACATGATTTGGACCTAACGATTGTTTTCTAATTTCTAGAGCTTTTTCGTAATGCACGATAGCATTGTTGTAGTTTCTAGTTTTTTCAAGCACATTGGCAAGATTGTCTAAAGTCGAAGCAACATCAACATGCTTTGGACCTAACAATTGTTTTCGAGTTTGCAGAGCCTTTTGATGATGTAATTTAGCTTTGCTATACTTCCCGGTGTCACAGTATAAAAGACCGAAGATATTAAACAACCAAGCTTTGTCATTACTAGATTCTTCGGATTTAAATTTATCCAATAGTTCAAGAGCAAGGTTGTATTTTCCAAAATGTCTTAATCTGTCAACAAAATATTGGAAAACTTGTAAAGTATTCATGTTGATTTTTGTCTTGTTCGTCTTTAATAATTGAACAATTTTTTCAAGATGTGGCATCAATTTGATTTCGTCGTCTCTTTCTTTAAACATGTAAAGTGCTTTAGATATTTGATCAGCGTTACTTTCCATTTCATGTTCTTCATTTGAATGTTCAGATTGATAAACAATAATTGCTTTGTGAACAATACGATGTAGACTAATGTCATTATTTTCTGAATGCAAGAACAATGAGCAGTCCTTTAAAGAAAGAGATATATCTTCCTTTGAGTGTTTGGAATCTATTTTTCGAACATAACAAATAATAATGTCTCGTGGTATAGGATCAAACGATATCACGGAGAAAAAGTTAATAA